CCAATTTTAGGAAAAATACTTTTGACTTCTAGAAGTGATTGAATTGCTTCTTGCAAGAAACATCAGTTATGTGATTCAAGTGCTCTTCTGATTAGGGATTAATTCTAAAAATATTGTCACCAAAAAATTTTCAGCTATTTCAAAAATACTTTCAAGGAAACCGAATTATCAAAAAGTGCTGTTGATCATTTATCAAAAAAGTATTTTTGTTTAACTGTACAGAAAAGTTTGCAGAACAAACTGACTACAATTTTATCCAAGAAAGAAGGAAAAAAAGAAAAAAGAAAACAAAGATGGAACTTAATTCTAACTCTTCGTTTATCTCCTCGGAATTTTTCATTGCTGCTCTTTTCTTCACCATGAAAGCCATCAACTTCTTCCTCCTAAACGAAAAAGAAGAGCCCATTACGATCCAAACAAGAATATGGGCCAAGCCCAAACAGACAAATGGAGGGAAAGTGAAATAGTCAAAAGAAAATTAAAGAATCGGATAAGTTTGAAGGGGTCGTTTGGATGCCGAGAAAATTATATGGACCAACGAATAAAATTGTGATTTCTTCAACCGAAAACAAGTTAAGCAATTTCTTAATCTCACAACTAGTTTCGATCTTAAGAGAAATTCAGAACTTGCTTTGATCTTATCAGAGGATTTTGAAAAATAGTCATTTACTTCTGAAAAGAAAATCCACACTTCTGAGAAAATTATCAAAACAATCCTGTATGAACTTTGATTACCATGAATTTTCCCAGCATCCAAACAGAAGCTATGGTCAAAAACTCAAGGTTCGAATAAACAATTAAAACCAAATCCTCAAATAATTTGCAGATCAAGATTTGAAACAATCAAGATCACCACCGATTCCAGAAATCGGTCAGAATTTCCTAAGGAAATCAAAGAAACTAAAGCAACGAATTAATCAATCAATTTCAGAAAAAAAACAGAGGAAAAATTAACAAACCTGAACATGATTAGCAGAATAATTAGCCCAAACTATGCGTTGATTGTTTTCTTGAGAGGCGAGGAAGGCAAGATTGGCCGGGAGAAAAGCACAACGTCCATGCCGTGATAATCTTTGCCGGCCGCAGCAGCAGCAGCACCTATCGGAACCGTACTCTCGCCGAGATGCGAGTCCTCCTCTCTGATCCTCAAGACCTGGCTGTGCATCACGCACCCCTCCTTCGTCGTCCTCCTCCGCCATCGCCCCACCGACCTCGGCGACTCCATCTCCTCCGACGACCCCGCGCTGTCCTCCTCCCGCTCGTCCGTACACGCCTTCTTCTCCTTCGACGAAACGAACGGCATGCTCCGCCGGACCTCCTCCATCATCTCCCGAATCTCGTTCCGGTTCCGGTTCCGGTTCTCTTCCTCCTGCTTGTGAAGTGCCATCATGTTGGTCGAAACGGTGCGTATTGCGCAGTGGCGAGAGCTCTGGCTTTGGACGAACGAGGGCTCTGGCATGGAATCCGAGGTTTTATAACCTTTATTGCCGGTGGAAACTTATGGGAGGTCGACACGTGGAAATAATGAGAGAGAACGAGGGTGGCCACGTGGTAGACTGACGGGACATGAGGTTGTTATAAACTCCACGACTTGGAGACTGCTCTAACGGCCTTTTTCGTCGTAGTCGTCTCGATGAGGAGGATGAGGCCGTTTACCGTTTTGTATGGAACTCAATTAGCAACTTGGTTTAACCGTATTCAAATAAGATTATCACGGTATTTTAAATTAATAACGTATTGTCATTTGTTTTTTTTACTATTATTGTATGAGAGTTCTTTATAAGCGGTTGCCTTTTCACCAAAATTACGATTATATTGTCTCTCTCTCTCTTAGAGTTGGAAGAACTCGAGCATAACAGCTAACCAAACATTATCACGTCTTTTATCTCTTAGAATAGGAAAAACTTGGCTAGGGCAGCTGCCCAACTGAGTCCCATCTTATTCTCATGTTCGTAAGTAAATTCTTGAGAAGTTTGATTGTTTCAGTTTGACATTAATCTACCATGAATTGTTAAAATTTCTTAATTGATAGTCCTTCAAACCAAAATCGAACTTACATATACATCATCGCGGAACTAGATCCTCTCTTGAGTTCATGATGGGGATCCTTATGAGCAGCCCATCCTGGCCGTTCAAACTTGATTCAACGGCTGCAATTATTATAACTTTTAAAGAAGCTCTATGTTTGGAGCATTTGGATCAAATTTCAACGTTCCGGATGGGCTGCTCAGGAGGATCCCCATCCTTAGCTCAAAAGAGGATCTAGTCCCATCATCGCAACAACATGACACGTGTTTGATTTATAGCAATGCCACACAACATCGAGACAGAAGATTCACTTATGCAAAAAGTGGGAACAACATTTTTTTCTAGAATAATTAATCACACTAAACTAATCCCTGATAGAATCAACATTAGGGATTTGATTAAGTGGTGTCGACGTGGAATTAATAATAGCCAAGTATTTGACTAGGTTGGGGAAGAGAATCCGCATCTTCGTCGGATCTTCTTTGTGAAGATTGTAGATATCGTAAATTATGTCCGTTCATCATCTATTAAACACAAACATCAAATGATAAAAATTGATCGTATGATGTATAATAAACGAATACGATTTATGAATCTCTAAGATCTTACCGGATCCAATGAGAATCCTGTTGGGGATTAATGGGACAAGTGGCATGCATGAGATTTGAAGGGGGTTTTCGAGTCAAATCCAAAACCTTGTCAGCATGGCCACTCGGAGTATAAAAACAGAAAACGTGGTGGAGTGGAATTGCAATGAGATAAATATCTAGGACCGGAGTTAACATGGAACACGTGGGAGGGACCCCACCTAATTCGATTTTTCAAATGCAAAACGTGATACCGTATGATTTTGTTTACGTGCACGAGAGAGATGGAGACCCAAACTCCTTAACTACAAAAGAAATTTGGACACCTCTCGCTATATTGATAGACATTAATAATTGAAACGCAAATTAAGCAATTTAGATCAAGGCAAGTACTTTACGAGCGTGTTGTGAATTTGTGGGATTGTCGTATGCTATTAAAGTTTAAGGAATTTTTTTTTATAAGATCGAAATAAGATCAGCAATGCTTTATGATACAGAATATAAATAGGTAAAAATCAACACATGCACAAAATGAGTATAGCATAATAAGAATGTTTCGATTGATGCATGAGAAATTACAGGATAAAGTACAAGGATATTCGCGAAAAAGGAAGAATTGCCGCAATTAAAGATAAGATGAGAAAAATCAATTAAGGTAGTTTGGACATGCAAACCTACATATGCTACGGTTAGAAAATGAAATTCCGAGTAAAATGCTCAGGACAAAAGAAGTTGAGAAAGATATTGCAAAATTTGGAAAAAATACTTCAAGAAAAGTGAGAAAAAAATTAGTGAGATAAGGAGACATGTATTTATCAATTTTGTATGTGTTAGTGTTGATCCTAAAAACTATCAAACCTGCGTGGTGCGCAAGCCAAGTAATTAATAAGCTAACTACGTCATTCGGTTGTGTGCGGGCACGTGCCAACTCGTCGGCTGAGTTCGACTGGGAGTAAAATATATTGATGTGGCATTGGACGCGCTATTGACTTATTGATCTTGCGACTGCGGCTGAGGAACACGTCTCGGCCTTTGGATCTTAGAGCTTATTGACAAAGCTGCTAGTTTTGGAAAGTTCAATATCAAATTCGGCTTTCAATGTGCCGAATGTAGTAACCTGTAATACCTTACTTCGCCGAGAAGGCTAATGAGATGACATATACCAACAAGGATTGGAAAATCTTTGTCGACCGAGACTTGGATAAATAACCAGTCAGTCTCGATGCAGCGTTGTTTATTCAAACTGAATGTGCTCCTGGATCGGCTGATTCTATGGCTCCAAGGCTGTTTATCCAAACTGAAAATGTCGCCGGTTGCCTTCACAGTGTTGTTTATCCAAACTGAAGATGTGTTGATGCTAAGAAAGGGGAAAAGGATAAAATTCTCAGGATTGTTGAGAAGTTTTGCGAAAGGTAATTTTTGTGCTGATTTAGAGGGAGCTCCTGAATGTTGCATGCGGCTCTGTATTTATAGTGGCTGTATTTTTATTACACTACACTATTCCTCCCATGCTGACTATTTTTCAAATGTAAACCCATTGGATGGGGATGCTTTTTCCATTCAAAACTCTGTTTCCCGAGTTGTACGTGCAGATGCATCCATGCAATTTTGTAAAGAATCGCAATTCAATTACAATTCTTCCCCCTACCCATCATTTGGCAGCCAAATAATATCATGTGCATGCACGAAGCCAAATAATATTTCATGATGAGGCCACGTGCTTGATGAGATGTATTTCTATCTCAAATGGGGCTTTATGTCGATAATAAGGAGCCACATGGACTTGTCTCTGCCTCATGTTGCATGCATGCCTATCTCTATGCAATCTTCATTAATTCAAAAGAACAAGAAAATAATTTGAAAACTTTGAGTTTTACCGATAATGACAAAATAAAAGGTAAAATGAATAGTACCAATATATGATTTTTCATTAAAATAAATAGTACCGAAAATTTTTCGTTAAAATTCCTTTAATTCAAATGAAAAATCACAAACCAACTCAACTTGACTGTGAAACAATCCAATCGTCACGTGCTGCATACTTCTCAAATCAGTTATGATTACTTCAATCCCTAACCAAGCGAAAAGGGAATGACTTTGTAGACTTTCACAACTCTCGCACCATGTTAATCCCATTTAATCCATCCCGATCTCCTCAGACTCAAAAGATCTCACTCAAGATAATTACAATGATTAAAATTAATAGGAATATCGAGAAAATCTGTTTAATTTTGGAGTTATCCAATGGTTTCAACACAATGAACCAATAGTGTAAAATCAGATCCAAACAGTTAGTAAACAAAACACTGGATCTAACTCATACGCATGTATTAACAGTGCAGGAGAACAAAAAAAAAGTTTAAATAAAAAAAAAACACAGGACGATTCATCAAATCAAAGCAAACAGCGCAATGGAATTAGAGACATAGATCCAAAGTTTTAATAAGCTAACACAAAATTCATTACTTAGGGTATTTAAAGCAAAACATTTGAGCTCTAGTCGCAACAAAACACGAGCAAGAAACGCTTATAACATCCGCTAAAATAAACTGTAAAGGTCGGTAAAATCAAGGCTCATGATATCGAAACGCTTCTAAATTGAGAGGCCTCCACTTCATTCTTCTTCCTCTTCGTCGCCATCACCACCAGCAGCCTTCTTGGCAGCGGCCTTCTGGTTCCTTCTCTTCACCCTTCCAGGGCGCCCACCTCCGAGGGGACTAGTGAGAGAGAAGTCAATGTGCTTCTGGGAGTCCACCCTCACCATGAAAGATGGGATGTTGACCACCTGCCTTCCGACCCTGGCAATGAAAGAAGGATATTGAAAAATAAACACCACAAGCTTTGACATCAAACTTAACAAAACATACACCGCATTTCATTTCCGCGAGAACATAGTGCTGGACGACAAAGATGGTTCCAGCAGATAAAATAGAAAAACCCAAGTCCCGCCCTCCAACCCTTCATCCAAAAACATAGATAGATATAGAATGTTCATTTCCCTATGCTTAATCTGAAAATAATAATAATAATAATAATACCAAAGAACACAAGCTTAGTATGAACAATGTGTGTTCACAAATAACATCATAAAGATAGTAGACACATGCAGTTAACCCACTTAGTCAAGACAATTAACCACATAAACTCGCACAAATAACCAGACAACAAGTAATAACCAAAAGAAATAATTAGAAAATGTGAAGGTCAATTAACAAAACAATTTGAAGCTCAATTAACAAATAAGACAATCAACCATGTCGGTACACAAATTGCCATCTTATTAACCCACGCCTGCCACCTATAGATATGTAACAAACAGATAACACAAACGACATTTTGAGTAACAAGGTTTATACCTGATGTGCCTTTGCCTGATGAGAACTCTGGCGTGGTGAATGGACTTGGCCATACCAGTTTTGAACACAAGGGTTTGAAGACGACGCTCCAAAAAGTTCTCCACAGTCAAAGCCAACACATAATCGAGCTTGTTCTGGCTCTCATCCAGAAGGCCATACCTGTTCATCCTGCGAAGAAGAGCCTCACCCTCAAAGATACGGCGAGGATTTTTCTCATCCAGGGTAAGAAGTTCCCTGGCAGCATTACGGATACGGCTCAGAGAATACTGAACCCTCCACAGTTCCCTCTTTGCACGGAGTCCATATTCTCCAACAAGCTTCAGCTCAGCATCCAAACGTTCCTTCTCATAAGGACGACGCGGCTTCTTGAAAGTCTTCCCATCTGACATCACACATCATAATGCATAAACATTTCAATACAAAATTTCTTTGAAAAATATCAAATATTGACAAGAACAAAATCATAATTCAAAACTTGCATTTCAATACTGAAGCGTACACCGCTTTTCAATTCTTAGATAACATCGGAAACTGATAATAAAGAAACGGATCAATAACGGGTAACAAAAATCATTCTATCCAGCAAACTTTATACTAAAACGTAACTTTTTCGGGTTTTTTTTTCCTTTTAATCGATAATAAGCTTCAATGTAAACAATTTAGAACAAGATTTTTCAACATAAAACCAAACGTGATTTAGCTAGATCCAGCATAAACAAAGCCAACATGATTAATCCAAGAAAAACCAGTCAAATCAAAAGGAAAAAAAATTGTACAAATACATATTAAACACTCATTTGGCTGCAAATGCTGCATTAAGAGGAGGCCAATCAACGAAATCAAAGTTAAATGACGATTCACACAAATGAGCAACTCAAAAACCCGATAAACTTCAACCGATTAGAATAATAAAACCAACAAATCAACTAAAATCATTCGACAAGAAAGCAATCAAAATCTATGAACACAGATAAACAGCTCAATCGAAACCCTAATTGCTCCATAGATATGAGATAGAGAGGGAGATGAGAGGCTTACAGTTGCGGTAATGGACGACGTGCACCATGGCTGGCTAGCCCTAGGTCAGATCCAGAAAGGAGAGTGAGAGAGTGGGTGGGTGAGCGGGAGGCTCGCGCTGCCGAGTTCTGAGAGAAGAGGACGACGCAAATGGGGCTGTGTTTCGATTTATATGCAAACCCTAAACTGGCTAAACCCTAGTGGAGCGAGCGTAATGACAAATTTGCCCCTGTGTTGTGCTGGGCTTGTGTGGAAAAAGCCCTTTACCTTTGGATTGGACTTTCCCCATTTCGGACGTAAGAATCTAATTTTGGGCTGCCTACCTCTATGTGTACACCGGGTCCAACTGAATCGACTAAAGACATTTATACAATAGTTTGATGGGCGCGGTCTGGTTTGGATCGGTTTTACTTCAAATCATAGCTTCATCAACCATTAAAAGGTGCGTTTTGATTCGGTTACATAAAATGGAGGCGAAGCCAATCAAAACCAAACTACTGTTGAACAATTTGGCGATTCAGGGCCAGTTTGAGATTGTTGCACTTAAAAAAAAACTGATTTGATAGCTTTAAGAATAATTAGGTGTAAAATAAAGTAGTTGAGCGTTTGACAAACTGTATTTTTAAAAGTATTGTTAGTGAAATCAGTTTAAAAGCGTTAGTAAAACCCCATAACCCACCCACAGTTTAGTTGAAAACCGATTAGATCGAGTAGAGAACAATCTCTATGAGATGAAACATAATACTAATGGTGGTAACCCATGAAAAATGCAAAACCAATGAAATTTATAGGCGGTTTGATAAGGTTTAGCCGGTTTCCCATAGAGGCAACATCAAACCATACCAACCTAATTACAACTTGGTTCTTTTTATTAAATATTAAACATCGTGTGTTAAAATGAACCAAATTGGTCGAATTTGCTCTACCAACGTTACCTTAACATATAAATATCGAGTTACGAACTTTTGAAATGGAATTGTTATTGACATTCTAAAATTATTATTTTACACTCCAAACTTTCTATAATTAAAAAGAAAAATACATTTGTAAGGAGTGCCAAATAAGGTTTTTGGAATAGTAATAATAGTTCCCCTTTTGAAAATTGTGCTAATAGTGTCAAAGGACTCATTTTTAGCTCTAGTAAAATGACAAGCATTTTACGGGCCATACATACTGTTGATGCACAAAATCAGTGAGAACTTTGGTACAACAGAAAGTGTTTTGTGACCTTTACTAGATTGCTCCGGTCACTAGTATGGATAAGTATGCAAATAGATAGAGACAGGGAAGCAAACACAAGATGTACGTGGTTTATTCAGATTGGCTACGTCCACGGAGTAGAGGAGTTCTCATTAATTGTGAAGGGTTTACACAAATACATCAATTCAAGCTCTCCTTTAGTGAGTACTAGTGAATGATTTAATACAAATGACATTAGGAAATATTGTGAAAGAATGATCTCTATTTATAGAAGAGAGTTTCTAGTTTCATTCTGACATTGACACATGTCGTGTTGTGATTGGCTTCTGATATTGACACGTGTCGCGCTATGATTGGCTTCTGATGTCGACATGTGTCGCGCTGTGATTGGCCTCCTGGTTGGAGGGAAACTCTTCTGTGTCCTTGACGGTATAACGTTGACCAGTGCTCAGTAGTTTCGGGATTAGTCAAGTATGGTACAAACACATACGTTACTAATGTTGCTCACCTAAAGTCCTCATTTTGAAGACCGTACTTCTTTTATATAAACTTTTATATCAATCTAACGGTAATTAGGCTTACTTACTCAAATCCCATGTATTACATTCAAACAAAATTCTAAGTGGTTGGAAAAAGAAAAGAAAAAGAAAAAGAAAAAGAAAAAGGAGAGAGAAGAAGATTTGACGTCGAATCCTTCTCAAGGGGGTAGCTCGGGTTTAATGGTCTTTAACCTCTCATTGCTGACCGGTTGACGTATAAGGAAATTGAGCAGGCCACAGAGATACCAGCCATTGACTTGAAGAGGTGCCTGCTATCTCTGGCCTGTGTTAAGGGGAAGAATGTTCTTCGGAAGGAGCCAATGAGCAAGGACATAGTGAGGAGGATGCCTTCTTGTTTAATGACAAGTTCACAAGCAAGTTCTTCAAGGTAAAGATCGGTACTGTGGTTGCGCGAAGGGAGTCTGAACCAGAAAATCCAGAAACCCGATAGAGAGTAGAGGAAGACAGGAAGCCCCAGATTGAGGCAGCAATTGTGAGGATCATGAAGTCAAGGCGGGTCCTGGATCACAATAACATTGTTGGTGAGGTGACGAAACAGCTGCATGGGCGATTCTTGCCCAACCCTGTTGTAATAAAGAAGCGAATCGTCATTGAGCGGGAGTTTTTGGAGAGGGATAAAACAGATAGAAAATTGTACAGGTACCTTGCTTGAAAAAAAAAAAAAAACTATGGGTTGGTTCCTTTCTTCTTCATTTGTAGCTTTCGGCACAAGCCTGTATAATTTATCCTGCATTTGGTCAGTCGGAATATTGTTCACCGATCATTACAGGCTGTGGGTGGGTTCCGATGAAGTTTCATTAAGGCATCTTTGTTGCTTAATCTTTCCTCATGTTTATTCAACTTTTCCGAATGGGATGATGGAACTTTGTTGGAAATAATCATTCTCCTCCTGTCTCAAATTTTGAGCACCAGTATTTACCCTCATCCAATGCAGGGTTTGTAAGAGCTCGTTAAACTTCGAAATTTATACTTTTGCTTCTGTTAGTACATGGTGATGGTCATTGCTAGCTTGTGAAATGGTTGCTACACTCCTCGACGAAGAAAACCATTTCGCAGGAAGCTGGGTAAAACTGAGCTCACAGTCACAGGAGGATACCATTCATCGCCCACTTTTTGTGGGATAATCAGCTGGAAATGCTGCAATATTGTTATGTTATATGAAATCCAGATTGGAGGATCCAAGCAAGGCAAAGATTTGACAAATATGTCAATGAAAGGTTAGATTTGCACTTTTGCGTAAAAATGATTTCTTTTGATCAATGTATAGTCTGCTCTGATCTTGTGAGGTCGATGCATGTTCTAATTTGTTGTTTTTCTCTACCTGGGGATATCAATTACAATGAATAGCATCAAACCAAATAAGAAAGTATCTCAACATGCCCCCTTAAGTTTGAGAATGGATATCGTACACTCCAATGGATATCGTACACTCCCAACCTGTCAAGTAGTTTGTGAAAAATAACCTTTCGCAAGGGCTTTGTAAACAAGTCTGCCAATTGTGAACTTGTTGGCGTATAAGCAGCGGAAACCAATCCAATATTAAGATGTTGCCATACAAGATGACAATCCAACTCTATGTGCTTTGTCCGCTCGTGAAAAACAGGATTCTTGGCGATGTGTAATGCTAATTGGTTGTCACAATATAATTTAGCCGATTCTGGATGCTCAACACCTAAATCTTTGAGGACATATCGAAGCCATTTGAGTTCACAACAAGTATCTGCCATGGCCCGATATTCTGCTTCGGCAGACGAACGCGCCACAGTGTTCTACTTCTTTGCTTTCCATGAAATTAATGAGTTTCCAAGGAATGTACAATAACTAGTTACTGAGCGTCTAGTGGTGGGACAAGTAGCCCAATCTGTGTCGCATAAGGCTTTGAGTTGGAGGCTGTTTTGAGAAGGAAAAAACAAACCTTGTCCGGGGGATGATTTGATATATCGTAGTAGGGTTGGGTTCGGTTCGAAACGGTTCAGTTTTTTGCCAAAACCAAAATCGAACCGAATTTCGGTTTGGTTTAATTTTTTTTCGGTTTTGGTTTTTTTGGGTTCGATTTCGGTTTTTTTTCCATGATTTTTTTTTAATCTGGAACAAATATGTAACGATTGAGCAGTGAAGATGAAGAAACTTCTGCATCAAATGAATACGAACTGGGTACGTATATGTGGTAGAAAAATGGGTACGTCCATAATAACTTTTGGTATATCGATGAATATTTCTACTGTGGATATTTATTACATACAAAAGTTGCAGACAATAATTCACATTACATTGAACTGTGGCTGAAGTCATAGCTAAGCAGTTTTTATTATGGAGCAAAACTTCGGGAATTGATCTAACCTGGATGTGTAATTGAGTTTATGCATTTTAATGATTAAACTGATAAATATTTCGACCATATATGGATTTAATATCGTAGTATCTTTTAGCCTTTATATGCCATAAAAGTTGAGGATAAAAATTCACAATACATAGAACTGTGGTTAAAAAGTATATCGCCTTTGCACGTTTTATAGGTGAACTCATAGGTATGCAGTTTTATTATTGACCAAAACTTTGGGAATTGATCTAACTTGAATGTATAATTGAGCTTATGCATTTTAATGATTAAATTCATAAATATCTCATGAATTTAGCCTCTATATTGATATCTATGGCAAAAAAAGAGTACCTCCATGAGAAAATTTTGTACATAGATGAATATTTTCAATCTGGATATTTATTAGATACCAGAAATTATAAGTTTATTCGCAAAAGTCTAAGTCAATGTCACGTACAATATTTGTTAGGACATATTTAGGGAACTGATATTAGCACTCCAAAAATCTCATTCTACACTTTGCACAAGTGTATTTTTCTTTCTAATTATAGAAAGTTTGGAGTGCCAAATGAGATTTTTTGAGTGCTAATAACAATTTTCTATATTTATATACATTTTATTTTAGTTTGGAATTCGACTTCCTTTTTTTTTTCTTTTCTTTATCAACTTGGGAGTATCACTGACTGTGACCCTGTGCAACTAGTTATTGATTCGTTTTGAATAATCAACATTATTTCTTACAATGTCTTGGACGTAAGAATAACAGAAATAAAACGGTCATGATACAAGCTGAATAGTAGTAATACTAATACTAATTAGTAAACAACTTGTGCATGATGTTTGCTTATAACCAAATAGCATGAAGGGACAAATGTGTAGGTTTCATGCATGACTTGAAATAGTATTAGTAAATGCATGATGTTTTCTTATAACCAAGTGGCATGAAGGGACATGTATGTTTCATGCATGACTTGGAATAATATTAGTCGTCGGGAAATTTTGCATCAATTTGTTTTTGTTTTTAATATGTATATATTAAGTTCTATTTTAATGTGATTGCTCACCACCCCTAAGTTGTGATAATGTCTTTATTTATC